GGGTGTTGCAGGTGAGGGGGGCTATAGGATTCCATCCATAAAGCTCGTGTCGAGCCGCTGGACGAGCACCCGTATGAAAGACATCTCCTTGCGGGTGTTCTCGAAGATGACCCGGGGATCGTCGGACTGGCAGCGCAGACAGTTGGGAGCCATGACCATGGCCAAGTTGTTCACGTCCATCTTGGTGATGGACACGTTGGCTGGCTGAGCAAACACCTGGGGACGAGACAAAAACACAGCCTACTCTCAGGAGGATGGTACCGGTGCTGTTTACTCAGATATCAACAGAAATAATGGGTTTGAGAAGTTTCAGTCTGGGTTTAGAGCTTCGACCTGAAACCTTCTGGCTGTTAGGAGACAGCTCTATGAACTCTGGCTGAAGCAACAGAACTACTTTGTCTTTTGTTATTTGGTGTCTGATCTGTGGCACAGTGGATAGGGATGGGTACCTTTGACATTTGAATCAATTCGGTTCCAATATCCGATACCTAGGAATCGGTACCTGTACTCAACGGTACCAATTTTCGGTACTTTGTGTTTGTTGTTTTTTTTAATAATGAACTTTTTAAATTTATTTAACATATTTATTTTTCAATATGTAAAATTTAACAAATATCAATACAACATCCAACTCTTTGTATTGTAACAACAGTTGTTTAACAAATAGTGAAAACTGTTGAAAACAACAAGACTGTTTTGTCTTATTGCACAAATTAAAATCCAGCTCCACGTATTTCTATTGATGTCATTTCCCCGCTAGAAAAATTGTGTGATGGAGGTCAATGGAAGGCAAATATGTTTAAATCAAAAAAGCAAAAGAGGATTGAGTTAAAATAAATAAAAGGTCTTCAAGCAACGTTTTGAGCATCCAAAATGAGCCCAGCGCTTCAAGTTAGCTGCTTTTGTGCTCTTTCAGGTCAGACGTGTGTCGGACTGTCGGGAAGTGCCTCTATTGTTTTCCTCTGCCGGTCTCTGTTTAATGACGGATGAAATAAAGAAAGTGGTGGTACTTTATTTACTTTGAGCAAGCGAACGTAGTGCTCACAAGATAATTAATCCACCAGACAATTCAGAGGCGGTCTGTTCGGCGAGTTTTCTCCAGGAGCTGCGAGGCTTTCAAGCTACGTTCAGACTGAGCTCTGTTTACTGAACCAGCGGCTGCTGACGTCTTTACGCTCTTGCGCGATGCTGCGTTCAGGACAAGCATGGAAAATCCCCCACTCTTACGCCAATACGGTCACACTGATGCATTTAGGTACTGAAACATGGTACCGTTTGATGTTACGTGAACAGGTACTTGTTAGTACCAACAGAATTTGGTCGGTACTTAAAAAAGTATCGAATTCAGTACCCATCCCTAGTGGTGGAACAGTGGGTAGTCAGGACTGTATCTCAGTTTGGAACCTTTCTGGGTAAAGCTAGTTCCATCAGCTGATCAGCTGTGTTTCTCATATTGGATTCTCAAGTTGGATTAGGTCAAATAAGCACGAAAGCTTTAAATTTCATTAAATGAAATAATAAAAGAGTTAATGTTCAGAGCATTTCCTCTGTTTTCTTTTTAAAGTTTGGTTTTAATAACTTTCTTGGTGTATTCGTGTTGTCCGCTGTGTGTTTGGGAGTGTTACCTGTAAAAAGCGGATGAGGTAGCAGAGTACCAGCTTGTTGATGTGTGGCAGACCCAGAACCACGTTGACAGCTGCCTCTGGGTTGTCATAGCTATTGATACACTCCTCGTAGAACTCGTGAGGGATCAGCGGCTCTTCTAGCTCCCTGTACCAGAGTTTTAAGAGAGAGGCTGGGGACACAGAGGGACAGGGTTTACGTTAGGTAGGAGCTTATTGTTAGATGTCTGCTTTGTGTGACAGAACAAAAAAAAAATAGCATGTACTCGTTGTTCGGGGTCTAACAGATCCTTCTGGGGCTGACAGCATGTGGTCCCATTCAAAGGAGGGAGCCAAAAACAGCAGCAAAAATAAAGTCTGAGAATGACCTTGAGCAAAAGGGGAAGAAACAGGAACTCGTGTTTCTTCTACTTAGTGATCAGTTAGCAAAACGTTTATAAGATAAACAAAGCAGAAACAAAGAGAAGTGATGAGTCTTCTTGTTCTGTATTTTCCTAACAGTTAACTTCACCCTCAGACTGTAGGTTTACTCGTGGTTCCTACGGTTTATAGCAGTGCAACAGGAGGCAGAGCTTCCACTTCCCAACCTCTGTTGTGGAACCAATCTGTCTACTTTAAGACTAGACTCAAGGACTTCTGTTTTTATAAACCCTCTAGTTAGACTTGGCTTTGATTACCTGAGCTATCCCTTTGTTATACAATTATACAAACATTAAATTATACAGTTATTTGTCTGACAGGCCACAATATTTGGGCAAGACAATACTATAGTCTTTTTATTGAAGCATTTTAGGAAACAAATGAGGTGCAGCATTTACCACCAGTCCAAGTGAAGGACCTATTTTCACCCAAAGAAGGAGAGGGTGGGACTTATTACAGAGATGTGTTGCTTTAATCCATCAGTTATGGTGCACAGATGTTAAAACAAGGTATCTGTTAGAAGAGGCTGTCTGTGTGGCTCCTTAAGCCAGAAGTGTGTCATTCATTTTCCATGAGTTCTCCAGTAGCACATATATCGCAGTAGTATTTAAAAAAACTACTGTAAATCTGTTGTTGCTTTTAGTTTTGGTGCACCATCCCAAGATTTATCAGTCTAAAATCCTCATATGGCCACCCCTTTGAAAACCTTCTGGAGGTGAGGTGCTCCTGAATGAGACTGGGTTAAACCCTGACACATGAGCTCGGAGCAGTTTTCTTTAAATGAAAGTGTTTATGTGTACCTGGAATGTGAGGGTCTTCCAGTCCTGTGGGGATTTTCCATTGATCCACTTGCAGCTTTAGGGCATTGACTTCATCTATGTCTCCTGGTACCCTGGAGGTCAAAAGTCAAAGAACATTTATACCTTAGCTCCTCGTCCTGTAACCTAATTACACTGCCTGGCCAAAAAAAGTCGCCACCATTTAAAAAAAAGGTCACACGCTCTAATATTTCGTTGGTCCGCCTTTAGCTTTGATTACGGCACGCATTCGCTGTGGCATTGTTTCTATAAGCTTCCTAGACCTGACCAACTGCAGCAACCCCAGATCATAGACTGTCCCCACAGGCTGTACAGTAGGCACTATAGGCATGATGGAGCATCCTCGAAGACGATGGGTCCCCACTATCCTTCCAGTTTTTAATAATGCGTTGGACAGTTCTTAACCAAATTTTAATAGTTTCTGCAGTCTCCTAGATGTTTTCTTTGCTTGATGTCAATGAAGTGACAACAGACTGACATCTTTTCATCGACCACCGGATGTGTCTTTAAACATGGTTGTTTAAGGAACGAGAAGCAACACATTGCATCAGTTGGGATTAAATAACTTGTTGCCAGCTGAAAGGTAATCACCCATGCAGTAATTATCCAATAGGAGGCTTGTACCTAACCGTTTTGCTTAGTTAAATCCAGGTGGCAAAATTTTTTTTGACCAGTGTATCTTTCCTTTCCTAATAACATTTGTTTTAGAAACACAAACCTGCAAAACCTTCGTTCACGTTCTTTCATGGTGCAACATAAGCCCCAACACTGAATGTTTACTGTAGGTAACAACTACGTATCTATTCAGGACCAAATATAATTAATTCATCCATCTTCTATTAATTATCTGAGGTTGTGTCAATAAAGCAACAGGCCCAGGAGGGAAACCCAGACATCCCTCTGTGATACTGTGATGCTCCTCTTTGGGTATCACTAGGTGTTTCCAGCCCACAGAAGATAAATAATCCCTCCAGAGAGTTTTGGGTCTTCACTGGGATCTCTTCCAAGGATGTGACTGGAAAATATCTAAAGGCAGGTGTCCAGGAAGCAACCTAATCCTAATCCTGCCATCGTACAAATAAGAGCTCAGAAATGCTGTTCTGCTTTCTTAGAACCAGTATGGTTGTGTTGTAACTTGTTATACAAATCAAATTATACAGGTAAAAAATTATAATGAGCACTTTTCCTGTGTTTCAGTCCTTGAAATGTCTTTTTATTAACTCAGTAATGTGGCAGCAGCCGGCATCAATTAAACATGACTTGATTCCAGTAAATCCTGCAGTCTGAGTTTCACAGTTTTCTAAAGTAAAGTAGGGCCTGGTTAGGTTGCTCCTCACTGAATACTGATGCTGGAACTTAGATTATTCCAGCAGCTATAGTTTTGTTTTCATGGCTCACTCACCTGAAGATGCCTTCTGTTTGGTCGCCATTGAGACCCAGAACCTCCTCCGAGAGTCGAGTCTGGACCCAGGGCAGCTGGCGGTCTGGGTATCGCTCCTTCTGAAGAGACATCACCTCCTCTAAGGAGGAACCAAACATAGATGGATTGAAGATGGCGCTCCTGGCGTGTTTGATTTCCTCCAGACAGGGTTTCTGCAGGCCCTGAAAACAGAGGTGAAGTGTCTTCATGTGATAAAACGGTAGAGCTGATGAAATATACAGTCACTGAGAAAATATCAAAGAAGATTCCCATTTTGGCCAATACCAATGTTTTAAATAGCTGACGATGTCTTCAATGTTCCAGTCTTATTTTATTGAAAAACATTGAACAATACTCTTGAAACAATACAAACTTGTTTTAACAGGACATCAGGCAGTGCTCACAGCTAGGCCTGTCGCGATAGTCAATTAATCTATTAATCGCACGATAACTTTTTTTGAGGTCGGTAAAAAAAAAAGGGGCCGATAAGTTTCATTTTCCTGCTTGTTTGTTTACTTCGTGTCTCTCTGCTCCGCAACACAGGAGCTCCGCTGACCCCTCCCCTCCTGTTTTCTTAGTGTGGGAGGAGTCAACTCTCGCTTTAGCATGAGAGCTCGTTCCTAAAGAAACGCTTCAAAGCAGAACGCGGCTGCAGAAGTGTCGGAGAACTAGAACCTGGATTTCGCTGCGGAGGGAGGGAGGGAGAGAGAGACGGAGTGAGACAGAGTGAGAGAGAGAGAGAGAAAGAGAGAGAGACAGAGAGAGAGACAGAGAGAGAGAGAGAGAGAAGGAGGAGAAGGGGTGGGGGCTGAAACTCCCCCTGACCCGCGACAAAGTCGTCAAGACTTTACCTGTAGCTCCCAAAAATAACAGGAAACTTAAACGCAGCATCTGTGTTTTAACAAAACACCCAAAAAACCAGTGGCTGTCCCAACAACTCATGAGTAAAACTCTGAACTGTCTGATTTCCTCCCTGCAGCGCTCTGACTGTCCCCTCCTCACTGACTGTCCCCTCCTCACACACACACACACACACGTTTGTTCTTCTATCCTCATGGGGACTTTGCATTGACTTTCATTCATTTACCAGTATTTTCTATTACCATTTGAACCTAAACCTAGCCTACACTTCACATGGGATGTGAACTGGGCTTATGTCCCCATAAGAAACAGTGGGTCCTCACCAGGCTGTGTAATTTGCTTCATCTCTAAAGAGATGCTGTTCTTTAATATTGTTTATTTACTGTCTTAGTTGTGTGTGGTGTTTAATTTACATTTTGTTGTTCTTTGTTGTTTTTTTTATTCAAGTGCATTTTTTTGTTAGAGACTGAGAGTCCACTTTGTTAAACATTCTTTTAAAAATGAAAGTTTATTGATTTATTACACTTACACATTACGCTTTTATAATTATTAGTTGTAAAACGGTCACCAGGCAATATTATCGTTTATCGCAATAAATTTTGAGACAATTAATCGCCCAGCAAAATTTGTTATCGTGACAGGCCTACTCACAGCAGAGCAAAAGGAGACGGAGGCTGATTTTCAGACCTCTGTGGAGGTAGATGAGAAGCAGATTTTTTTCCACCGATCTTATCTAAGTATCAGCACAAGTCCGATCGCCCAAAAATTAAGGAAATTGGTGCCGATTAATCGGTCGGATGATTTTTCAATGCACTCCTAGTTGCCAACTATTTAAAACTGCATTGAACTCACTAAACCTTAAATATTTTAAAGCATACTGTAAGCTTATGTTGGAGTAAAAATATCAGAAATAAAACTTGGACTAAACATATATTCTAATTAAGAAATCTGATTTTACCTCTAACAGCTTACTTACTGAACAACAGTTTGATAGGATTTCACATTTACAGAGAATTCAGGAAAACATTTTAGTTGGACAGCTATTTTACAGAACAAACAACAAACATCAGATTATCTGATGTTTAAATAAAATGTATTTTTAACAGAAAAAGGTTAAAAAAACTTCTAACACTGCTTATAAATACTTGGTTTAAAAAAGAACTTGAATACCCTACTTCACAGTTAGTGGATTGATGCTTTAGTGCTGTGGTTCTGAAACTTTTCAGCTTTTGACCCACAAACTGAAAGTCCTAAAGATTCATGGTCCATGTATTTCTGGTTGAAGTATACAAATAGTAATTCATTCAACAAAAAGACTCATGAACATTTATATGTTGTCTATTCTATTTATGATCACTGTTTAAATCTTATTTTAACAGTTAAAGTTGAATGTGTTACTGGGAATCATAAAAGTCAGTTTAATTTCTGTAGTTTCTACGACCCACAGTGGGGTCCCAACATTAACTTTAGAAACTAATGATTTTTTATATGTAGTGTTATCTCAAACAATGCCTGATTGGTTTATTGGTTAAATTGAAAAATTCTGTAGCAAGAACATACCAGCTTTGAAACATCACACATATACTGTATAATGAACACTATAATAACCAGAGACCTAAAATGTTTTTTGTCATTGCTTGACTTTTTATCAGCTTAGAGCTGTGTGTCCAAGGTATATTCCTTTATGTTCTTGGCAGATGTACCACATAAATCAAGATGTAGTAAAAGTCATGACAACATCAAAGTTACAAACTGATTTGAACATCAAAGAATGGAAAAATATTTGTAAAAAAATGTGTTCTACAACACAACAAGAATTCTGGCTCCTGCAGAATGATTACATGCCGCACAGCTTAAAATTAATCAATTAGAGATATTTGTTGAGATCAGCTGTCCACAAAAATCTGTTTCTTCCAATCTGTCTACCACCATGGGTAGACCAAAAATCTGTTAAAGGATGTCAGGGACCGGACAGCAGATCTACACAAGGCTGAAATGGACTAAAGGACCATCAGTGAGAACCTTGGTGAGAAAGTGGTTGGTTCCATTATTCATAAGTGGATAAATCAATGTAAGATCGTTGTCATAGGGTGAGGATGATGAGGAGGTAGATGAGGGATCACAGCTCACAGTTTTACATGAGGGTCTTGTTGATGATATGAAGTCAGTAGGGACCACAGCTACCATGAACACCTCTGGTCACATTACACTGTAATGAACTGAAATATTCCCAGTTGGGCCGTATTGGTCATTTTCATACAGTGGTATAACCTTTAGAAAATACAGCAATAAACGGTTTTACTGTGTGTGTGTGTCTGTGGCATGTTGAGTAATCAATAATTAATAGAGAAATGGCTCCTTGTGAGCATTTATATGCATTTAGTCAGAGAGATGTGGGGAAAAGACTGAGCTGTTCTGACGTCACTCAGAGCAGCTGCAGGAAACAGAATGGAATTGCTTCTTATTACTGTATGTTGAGCAGGTCAAAAATAAGTCCAACTATATCACTAAATTACAAAACTCTGACTTTTACCATGTTTGTATCCACGCTGCTGCATGCTTTTATAGTTTTTAGGTATTTCCTCGTCTGCAGCGAGGAGCCTGAAACGCTAGAAACCCATGGCTGAGTGGTCCCAAAGTCGTCAGCCAGCACTACACCAGCTCACCTTTTCAGGTTCGACGAGTAACGTTGCTCAGAGAGGTGCAACAGACGGGGGTGTCTCTGCCCCCACACCCCTCTGTTTATCTTCTAAATGAGCTGTAATTAGTTTGTATGGGGCATCTTCTGAAAGTGCCTTGAATGTTTATGTCACAGTTTTTATAGCAGCCTTGTGGAATTTTGGTGTTTTACCTCACCTCACTCATACTGTCATAATTTTTATATACGGTACACTAGTGTTGTAGTACTTGAGACCAGTCTCAAGACTATGTTTTGATGGTCCTAGATTTGTTGCGGACTCGACACCATTTGTACTCGGTCTTGTCTCGGTCTCGGCCATTAAGGACTCGGAATTTTATTTCAAGATCAGTCAAGACCACAACTGTGGAAATATCACTAAATAGCCAGATTATTGTCCAACCTGACTCATTGCTATTTATGTATTTTTGTTACCGACTGTGTGGCCCCACACAAGGATTTTGTCAATTTTAGCTCTATACATTAAATTAGTTACATGTGTACAGAATACTCCATCTTTCGACACTAGGTTTTTTTTTTCTGGTCTTGGTCTCAACTTGGTCCAGGCCCAACAAAAGTCTTGGTTTTGTCTCGGTCTGGAGACACTGTGGTCTTGGTCTAGACTTGGTCTTGGGTTAGGTGGACTTGACTACAACACTACAGTACAGTCACCATATTTTGATATCGAAGTATACCAAAATACTGTCATCCGGTCCAAGCCTACTCAGAGGTGAAAACATTAGACATGAAGGCTGTGTTTCTATGAAGAGTGCTGTCCTGCTATATTTGAGATGACATAAAAAGTAAGCTTCTCTGATTTGCAAACATATTTTAAATTAAGTGTAAGAAGTTTAATGTCATTTATTAGTAGCAGTGACATGCTATGCAGTACATGTGTATTGCTCTCTACTGGGAATAAAACAATTTACTCTGAGCCAAAAAGAACATTTCTCTCATAAAAATCTAATGATATTCAACAGTTAGGTGAAAACGTCCTACCTTTTTGGCTCCAGTCAGCGCAGCTTTCATCAGTTTCCTGAAGCAGTACTTAGCATAACTGCTAATGGCAACTCCTTGAGCAAGAAAAAAGTAGACACAATAAGAAGTTATCCTCGTTGCTCCTTTGAGGTTACATGAGCGTTCAGATGCAGCAAGTGCTTTAAAGGTTATAAACATTTGTTGAAAGACGTTGTCTTACCTTTCGTGTCATTCAGAGGGTCCATGTGTCTGCAGATGTAGCCCTCCAGGTAGGCGTGGAAACGGGGAGTTGGAGGAAAAAAGGCCAAACAGATGGCCATCAGCTCCCAGCCACGCTCCAGACTATCATAGCGAAAGTTCTCTGTGGTTTGACGGCACAGCTGGATGTAGAGCTCATCACGTAGACCCTGGTTGCTCCATCCTCGCACCACCACCTGATCATTAAAACCAGACAGTGAGGCAACTCATCCATATATATACTGCTCAACCCAGACATACCTCTCCCCCGTGACCCTTAATCCTTTCAACCCAACTATGTCCATCTTACCAAGTTTTAAAATCTTCTATCCAGCCAAAAAACCTTTTTGATCTTGTTTTGAGACAGATTTACTAAACAAGAACTGATTGTGTAAGAATAATAATCTTGTTTTCAGAACGTGCAAGATTATTTGTCTTGTTAGACTGAAAATTTAACTCAAATTAAGTAAAAAATTTCTGCCAATGGAGTAAGAAAATTTTACTTGGTAAGATTCTTGAAATAAGAAAAAATTGAGTGAAATCATGTATTAAGAATCTTACCAAGTAAAATTTTCTTACTCCATTGGCAGAAATTTTTTACTTAACGATATCACATCATACTTTTAAATCCTTCATTTTCATGTCTAAATCATTCACTTATGGTCTATTTAAAATAAAACTGCAACACTTTGGTCTTAATTCCTCGTTTTTGTTGCTCCACAGACTCCTTGCTTTCCTTGCTTTTACCCCTGTTCTGAGTTGCGCCTCAGAGCAAGCTGTTTTGGTGCGGTCTCTTTAAACACAAATGAGATATTTCACACCCCGCCCCCTCCAGGTCGCTGAGCGTTCGACTCCACCCCGTTCAGCCATATTTGTAGTTTCATAGCAAAAACACAGTTATCTACCAACTAAAAACTGTTTTTAAGATAAAATAAGATAAGATAAAACTTTATTGATCCCACAGTCTGGAAATTTGCACATTACTGCAGCTTAATACAAGAGACGCTGAGAAGAATAATGAAAGATTAATAAAAGATAACAAACAAAACCCCACAATATACACATGTGATATGTTCCAATGCACATATACAC